ACATGAGTCACTAAAATGATTGTTTATTCACTAAAATGCCTACATTTTACTACAATTCTGACAGCGATTATCTGAAATTGTAAATTCTGTCTAGAACCGTGACGGTTTCCCTAACAAAAACAATTACAACACCGCCACGATGTGGCATAATGAATCGAAACTTTATGATTGATATTCTTAGATTAAACGTGACAACACGTTAAAATCTTACAGGATTACTCAGAAAGAAAACAAAGACTCAAAAAAGAAAGATTAATGGTTGTTTAAAGATTGCTTTGGACGGAAAAAAACATAAATTGAAGTTAGTAGCTTTAGACGCTGTGATACTAAAGTTATGCAAACGGAGGAAATTAAATAACGATTCTGTAGTAGAAATACAAGTGTTATATATGGTCACCAGAAAAAAAAAACAATTAAAATTTTGAAACTAATAACACCACATATATTAAAACTCATTTTGACTCAAACATTCAGGCTGGAAGACAACTTGCAAAATGCATGTTTTCTTAAGGTTGCCTTACCTTGGCAGAAGCCGAAGTCATTTCGCCGCTGATCAAAATATATATTGGAATACAGCTAATACACGATGTAGCTGAGAAATCAGAAACAATATGTGAGATATAGGCCTCGTGCTTGTCTGAATGGTTTAAAAACGAGTGGCTTTATTTACATTATCTTCGCTAGTCCTAACACTTGGACTGTCCCCAGTTTATAAATACGTTGCTGCCTGACTTCTAGTGTAGCCCATTTTAATAATCCGCACAAAAGAGGCTACTGAAGAAACTTAGATCAGTGCCGTAGCGCGCGAAAGGAAACCTCATCGCCAAGCAGCGCGCAGCGCCCATTGGGTCGAAATGCACCAGCTCGGCTCCCGATTGGTGCAGGCTTTGCGACGAGAGCCTCGTTTCATCACCGGTTGTATTTTGTGCACATTCGGTTAATTTTTTTAATATTCGAAAAATAACATCCTTCGTTGGATTTATACCCCGATTAGGTTGTACCTCTGCGTAGTGTCCTACTATGTCTTGGCCCTGACTCCCATTACTCTCTTAAGGATAAGCGGATGGCTGGCTTGATGGATGGTATTTTTCCTGCCTTACCATTTTTTTTTTACCGTTTTACGTTTGTATTTTTCTTATATGTCACTTACGATAGGGAGATCCATTTCATTGCCTACCGCTATTTGCTGTACTGTTGTGCATTATACATAAACGTTGATTCGATTTGATGGTAACATCAACACTGTTGTAATGTTAGGATACAGGGTTTTCTTTATGTCAGTGTTATTTTGAATTTCCTGGATATTTTATGCATGTATGTTAAAATATTTTAATGTGCCACTTTAGGTGTCTTGATAAGAATATAAAAACGGAGATAACCGTTAAATAAATTTGCTGGTGTACTTCATCTACTACTTAAAAATCATATTATTTTGCAGTTGTGGTAAAACTGCTTTAAAGAGACCATGAAAATAATCAGTTTGAGCCTAGAAAGATGATGGATTTTAAAATGGCCCGCGCTGTCATCGATTGCTTACATGATTGGACAGCAATGTTGGTGAAAGTGAAGACTACATTAAGTTACAACGCCACCGACAGCTTTGACAGCACCAGCCGAAAAACGTTTAACGGGGACGTGAAGTACCCCTGCAACGTAAACATTTTTACGGCATCGTGAATCCATTTACGGTAGCATTTAATAGTTTTGTCTTTTTGCAGTCCCGATGGCCTGGATGTTCATAGAATCTAACTTAAAGTTATTCGATCACCGAATCATTATCGGTGGAGCGATACTATTACGCTATTTTAAAACGTTGTAGGTTTTGCACGAAACGGTTATGCAAATAACCGTTGTGCATTCTTTGCATACATGCTTTTGATAATGTTACTGTATTCGGTTTTCAGCTACAGACAGACATATTCCATCAAAGGTAACCAGTCTAGTTTTCCAGTATGGGGAAGGGGCGTCGCCATGGTTGGACTGACTATCTGGCGTAGGCCTACAGGGCGTTTTCCCCGTGGTCCGACAAAATTTGCCTCGGGGGGACTGCCCAGTCGGCAAAATGTATTGTCTCACTTTTGATTGGAAAAAAATATCAGAGAATGCCCAATTCAATAAAATTGGTTGCGGACGACCTTCTATTCGGCAAAATTTACCGTGGGAGACCCCAAAGCCCGGGGTCAAATATTAATCCCAGTCATGATATGGCTGGTTAAGGGGGTCGGATAGGCGAATCCGTGTACTCAAGTATGAGCGGGAAACGATGGATAAAGCTTGCTGGAAATGGGAATAAAAGTGTTAATATAGCGATTTGTGCTACACTTTCGGTGTTAACAGCAGGCTACTCATACCGAAGTGAGAAGTGGAAACTGGGTCAAGAAGCATTCTCTGCAAATTCAAATCCAAAATCAGTTCCCCTTTCATTTTCCACAATTTTTCATAAATTAGCCTAATTATTCCATTAAGTGTTGCTGGGGATCTTCTTAGACCCATTTAAACATTCTAATCGAGGTCGCTCCTCTCAGAGATGAGGATTTCAGTAACAGAGTGAACAGTTAGACACGGGTATTATTATTGTTTTCAGTGAATAAATACTTTTTAGTTCGCTCAATTACTCTAGTTCTCTATTTCTGACCCATGCTCCTTGAATATTTTTGCTCCCGAGGGGGCGGTTCCCATTGATGTTTAATATGATGAGACAGAACGTATTTATTAAATGGTTTACCTTGTATATTTTTCCAACACATATTTTTTGTCGATGTATATAGTAATTATACTTAAAGTTAAATAAATCATATTTACAACACTGGACTCTTTAAGGCGTCTATCATCGTACCAATTGATTGTGAACGATATGATGTGACCGGACAAGAACACTGTCAAACGAACAATAAATCGGAAAAGTGCTCAGAGGGTTTAATTCACACAAAATATTCATTAAAATGTAATGCAGTAATCACAAGTAGCTAGTGTATTAACGGTAGCGTGGCCGAGCGGTCTAAGGCGCTGGATTAAGGCTCCAGTCTCTTCGGAGGCGTGGGTTCGAATCCCACCGCTGCCAAGTGTTTTGTAAGTTATGCTTCATTTACAGTTTGAAGTTCATTGAAATAAGTGTCTACATCCATGACTGGAAGGCCTCTGGTTCTGTTATCACTGTTGATCAAAAGTTCTTGTCCAGGCATGATCAATCGTATAGATGGCCACCTTGGGCAGAAACTTCTTTGGGGGCGCCAATTTGCTGGCCAATGTCACTTTGCCTCGGACAGGAAATGCCAGAGTTAATGTTTGCCTAGGCCACCACATTGAATGGTGCCAGTGCTGCCTTAACCTCAAAAGCCTGCTCCAGAGATGCCCAATAAACAGCTGACCCTGCAATCTGGCTGGACCGAAGTTTAAATCTCTGCTCTATGTGTGGAGTTTGCATGTTCTCCTCATGTCGTTGTGAAATTTCCTCCAGGTACTAGTTGCCCCACACAGTCCAAAAATAATAATTGGAGTTACTAATGGTATGTGTGCCCTGTGATGGGTTGGAGCCCCATCCTGGGTTATTTCCTGCCTTGCACCTGTAGCTTCTGGGAAAGTCTCTGTCGTAGGTAGGGCCTAAATATACGTGACCCTGAATAGGACCAGCAGGCACAGATAATGGCTAGATGCTAAACACTACATTTAAACATATCAGGCCACAGAGTGCATTGTTATATGAAATAATTGTTTTAATTATCTACATGTGCTTCCATGGATAGTACCTTAGTCTCACTCCTCATCTGAAATACAGTCATTTGGAGCCTGGATAGCTACACAATGTGGACAAAGGTATTGGGACACCTGGCCATTACATCTACAGGAACCTTTATGACATTCCATTCTAAATCCATAGGCATCAGGATGGAGTCAGTCCCCCCTTTGCAGCTATAACAGCTGCCACTCTTCTGGGAAGGCTTTCTACATTTTGGAGTGTGTCTGCAGGATTTTTTTCCATTCATCCAGAAGGGCATTTGTAAAGTCAGGCACTGGTACTGGATGTGAAGGCCTGGCTTGCAATCTCTGTCCTAGTTCATCCCAAAGGTGTTCGATATGGTTGAGGTCAGGGCTCAGTGCAGGCTAGTCAAATTCTTCCACACCAAGCTGATCCAACCATGTCTTTATGGACCTTGCTTTGTGCACTAGGGCACTGTCAGGCTGAAACAGAAAAGGGCCTCCCCTAAACTGTTCCCACAAAGTTGGAAGCATAGAATTGCCCAAAATGTCTTGACATGCTGAATCATTAAGAGTTCCCTTCACTGAAACTAAGGGGCCTAGCCCAACCCCTGAGAAACAACCCCATACCATTATCCCTCCTCCACCAAACTTTACATTTGGTAGAATGCAGTCAGGCAGGTAACATTCTCCTGGCATCTGCCAAACCCAGACTCATCAATCAACCTGGCAGAAAGAAGTCTGATATTTGGAAATGATATATATTGTGCAATGAATTATTTATATCTATATCCTCCTAAGACCCAAGGAAAAAAGTGTCCTTCAATTGTAGGTTATTTGTCTTTGGAGGAAATAAGACGTCTTACAATTTAGATTTTTTCAAATTTATTCTTATTTTAATTTCACAGCATGTCCTCTTTAGTGTACAACAAGAATAAATACATTTCCCAACATCAGTGAAAAAATAAATGCAAAAATACAATATCCACTACAATGGACATAAATGAATAGGTCGGGTCTCAAGAGGATATAATGTTTTTTTTTTTTAACTCGTGTTGCGATGGTTAAAAAGCACACCCCACACATGTGATATCTTAAAGCCCTAATGAGGTCAGGACTGGCCATCTGGTTCACCAGACATTTTCCCAGTGGGCCAATGGACTTGTGGACCAGCAAAATTTATTGTGAGGAGACACTTGGCAAGGTTTAATATGGGGGACTCCCCCCACATCTTTTAATGGGCAAAATTGATCATGAGCGACTCCAAAGTCCAGGGCCAAATATTAATTTCAGTTCAGTCTTGGCTCTAGCTGTCCTCTTTAAGGAACAATGGGGCTTAATACAGTGGTATGTATAGTATGAGAGATAAGAACCGAACCATTATGTCCTCTACAGAGAACAAAATTTAATTGCTGAATCAAAGGTGTGTGTGGGTGTGAGTATACCTTACATTGTAGGAACCAAATGTGATAAAAAAAAAAAAAACCTGTTATTTTGACATTGTAGGGACCATTTTTTTCAAGGGCAAATTCAATTTAATAAAAATTTGTGACTGCAATCAACAAACTAAAAATGCCAAAATATTTGGGTCATTCATGACCAATTCATTCTTTTTCAACAAATCTTTTAAATTATTGAACTGGGGCCTGTATCACAAAGCAGAATTTCTTGCTTAGCTGGATAACGTGCCAGATTTAAGGTACTCTGGCCTAAATATACGTGAACAAAGATAAAGTTCATATAAACAGGGGTTCCTTAAATCCGACAAGACAAGATCCAGCACTGTATACATACACCAGGTGCATAGCTAGAAATTATGAGCCCCTGACAAAATGTGACCACACTGGGCCTCCCATAATAAATTTTAATGGTGCAGGGAGGTTCCTCTATGGGAGACGCTATAATTTCAGGCCCTGTAAAGTGCCGGCCCCCCTGAATCTCCCAGAATATCTATGCCCCCCTGACGCCTCTGCTCACCACTGGTTGTATTATATTCTGTTTCTAAGACAAGTTTGCTCTACAAGTACAATACAGTGCAATAGCGCCCTCTTCCAGTCATAAGTGGGATACCACATTTTTGCCTTTGAAACAGAGATATTTCTTAGCCTACTTCCTGGAATATCCCAAACTGGAATTTAGACATACCATATTTTATTTTAATAACTGAACCAACATGCTTTCTTAATGGCTTTGAATACATCTATGCTATTTTCATGGACACAGAGGATAAATTAAATGAGCAGAATCAGGCAATGTCCAAGTAGCTAAATTTTTCACTTTTTGTTTTGGTATGTTTGTGAATTTTTTGGGGTGATGTTATTTACTGCTACAGAACCACACATATGACATACTAACAAATGTATCTGCAAAACTTTAATTTACTGGAAAATACCTTAACAATAATAAGAAAGTCTTAAAATGACATAAAAGATAGAATAGAAAAAATACAATTTACAATCACATAGCTATTAACAGCACTGTGTGCATCCCATCATAAACTGAATCATTCAGCTAAGCATTATATTCTCATAATGATCCAGTTGACAACCAAAATTCCAGGATGTTTCCTTGCTCCTGTTGCAGTGTGCTGCTTGAACCAGGGTACACTAGTACACTATACCAAACAAGGTAGATTAATCACTAACTTATTGCCCATTTGATTCTCAAGCATTCATTGATTAATAAACCTGCATCTGAAAATGTGCACTGTTATTCATCTATAAGATTATACATGTATATGTACTGTAAATTCAGCATGACTGCTACATGTTGACAAATTATTCCACAAATAGCAGTTTGAAGATGGATAGATGGATGATTAAAGTTACAATCCATGGCCAGTTAATGAATAAAGTTAAAAGCTGAAATGCAAATCAGCACATCCCATCTCCTGCTACCTAAATTTGGTGCCTGTGATTTATATGGTGATACTGTTCTCTATTCGACTCGGGCACAGAAGAAGGTATGGCAGCTCCAAACCCTCATTCTTGTTCTCTATCTGCTTCTCCACATCCTGAAGATCTTGCTGCAGCCTGTTGATCAGCTCCAGAGCCTGAGGTTCAGTGAAATATTGCTCTTTGTATTGCGCCATGGGGATCTGAAAGTGGGGGGGAGGGGGGGAGGGATAGTAATTAGAGAAGGGGGGGCGTTCAAGAAAAAGGCTCAACTTGGGCATGAAGAAAAAACATTTGCAAACCTTTAGCAAGCAGCTATGCATGTTTGCTTGAGTATTTAAAATATTGCAGGGTATTATTTTGCACGGATCTATAGCACCCAGAACAGCACTCTATACCACCCTGCAGAAATGGTATAGAAATAATATATTTTTTTACCCTAGCGACACATCAATGAACTCACCGCATCAGGCTGGGCACGCCCCAGGTGCCATGTGATAGCCATCTCCACACATGATTGGCTGATGTCTGGCAGTGAATCCATTATCATCTCCATCGTGACGGTATCTTTATCAATTGGTGGAGGTTGGCGCATGGTGCAGGGAGTGTTGGGTACCCAGGCACACCAGTCAAACTACCAATCAGCACAAATCATCAGTGTCCATTTAAACCACGACCATGTATGTTTGGAAGTATGACCATATATGTACATGTGTGTAAGTTTGTGTACCTGGCCATTGTTGGTAGCTGCGTGCTGTACTGTACAAGTGAAGATCACCACAGATAGCAATGTACTCAGCTCCTTCCTGGTCTTCAACTCACTGGACAGACCTGCCAGAGGGGAATACTTATTATTCATCAATCAACCCTCCCACATTACAAAGGTTAGGGATGCAAGCCCCCTATGATCTGGAAAAAAATTTTGGTCCCCCTGGCGAGTGAGATACAGAAGTTCACTACATGATCACTGCGAAATACCATGTGAAAGGCTGTGGCTTTCGCAAAACTCCCAACAGCTCCCTAAAAATTTAATTTCTTATGCTGACTCCATAATATGTCAAAAAAAGGCAAGAGTCAGATATGGCGCCTGACTGATAATCCATGATATTGTGACGTTTGCAAGCAGACTGACCAAACTTGGGGACGTCCACAAAGCCCTCCTGGGCCGCATCCTGGATCCAGGCCTGAAGCTCAGTGTCCTGGACCACTTCTTTGTCACTGTGATAGTACAGGCACACCATCTCCCAGGTGAAACTGGAAGAGGAGAAGGAAAGACGGGGAATAGACCCCGCTCAACAGAGAGAGAGAATAAGGAGAAAGGATGGCGGAGCGGTGAAATGCAAGCAAACATGGGGAAAGGTGACAGAATTTAAGAGAGGGGTGTCAGAGTGTGTAGAATAAATGGAATAAAATATTGGGGAAGAGAGAGAGAGACCAAGCACCATTAGACTGTTTATGTGACAGTACTTTGTTACTTTGGAAAAGATATTCCATGTTATTCTCATGTTGGCTGTAATTAAATTTGTAGTAATTCCCATCCTGATAGTTTGCGTGTACAGGCATGTTTTTCCTGTTGTTGTGGTTGTATTGCATAAGCATGTAATGTAGTTTTTATCTCTGATTCTTTTTTTTTTTACCCAACATCAGCTCAGGTCAACCAGCATTGCAGGTGTCCAACCCAACATACAAAAAAAAAACTCTAAAATCTACATTAACAGAATGACACTGAATAATTCAGCCATTATGGGTCACATGGCCGTAATAGGCAAAGGGAATTGGCCAAAATTACACCAGCCAGTGTGCAGGAAGAGAACTTTAAAATAAGGAAGTCTCTCAGTAGGATTATTACCAGATACATTAAATACAGTACATTCACATGTGCCTCTCCTAGATGGTGAACATACCTCTGGATGACATCCCAGATCATTATGCTGTCCTCTCTATAGAAGTAATTTCTCAGTTTTGTTACACCACGTTCTTTGAAATCCAGACGGGGCTGGAGGGACTGGTATGTCAAAATCTTGTATTCTCTTTGGGCCAGCATCAGCACCCCATCACCCCCTGTTGACACCACCTTGGAGAGGTAGACGAAGAGCAACTGCTTTTCCACATTGACACAGAACTCTAAAAAATTACTGGTCAAATAATTACCACAATGCAGACTGTAAGACATAGAATTTTGGCCCAGGAGGTGGCGCAGTTCGCCTTATACCTCCTGGGGTCCAGATATATGGGGATTTGCATAATCTGCCTACGTTTGTATGGGTTTCCTTCTGGTAATTCAGTTTTCTCTGGGATCGGGCAAAGTGAAGACTCTCATGCATGAATGTATGCACAAGAACTCGAACCATGACCATGTTCAGATACGGATTTGAAGAAGATGAATGTGTGTTGTACACTGGCTGCAGCATTCATACAGATATATATGATTTAGCCAGCCAGAGATGTTTTTTGATATGCCCTTTGTACCCAAGCCAACTAGCCATGGCAGAGAGATGGAGAGAAGAAACGAACCCTCTTGAAAATCCCATCAGATGAGATGAGCTGGCCGCGTCCTCGGCAATTGATCTCCAATGTGTAGCGGAGGTGTGGTGCCAGCAGCTGCAGACAGTGATAGATAGACAGCACACATGTGTGAGTGTGTGTGTGTGTGTGTGTGTGTGTGGTCCAGGTATACATTACATTGTGGGGACCAAATGTCCCCACAATTTGATAAAAACCTGTTATTTTGACATTGTGGGGACCAATTTTCCCATCCCCACAAGAGGAAATTCAATTTTATAAAAAATCTATGACTGCAATCAAAACACTAAAAATGCCAAACGTCTCATATTTTGTTTGGTTACTGATGGTTAGGGTTAGGGCTGGGTAGGGCTTAAGGTCGTCATGTTGGGATTAGAGTTTTCCCCATAGAAATGAATGGAGAGTCCCCACAAAGATATAATTACAAACCCGCATGTGTGTGTGTGTTTGTGTGTGTGTGTATGCATGTGAGAGAGAGAGTTATAGCTATTATTATTGATGTGCACTGGGAAGTAACACAGGGTGAAGGGCATTGTTTACTAAGCTGTAATCAAAAGCTGGATGCCCTTCTCCGTTTATGTTCTTACCTTGTAAATGGGATGCACAGATGGCAGCTGACGGTATGTAGACACACAGAACACCTCCACCACCAGGTGTGTGCGTAACAGATGGGACAGCACCTGGAAAATCTGGAACTCTGCATGACGGACCCAGATTTTGGCCAGAACCCAGGCCAGCGGTGGGTCTCTGGGCAGGAAAATCGGTGTGTCTGGACCAGGAGTCTGTCCCAGCTGAAAGAGGCAGAGGGAGACAGTGTGCTTTGTGTAAAGATGCCCTACTTTTTTTTCTGCGAGATGTGCATGCTGGGAAATGTAGGCTTCCTTAGGCACCCAATACCTGTATCGCAATCGGGATCAAGCTGTCTTCTGGGTGGTCGTACAATAGACAAATGGGTGCAGCCAGATGCTGTTGCTGACCGCGGATCACATTAGCTGGGATTCCATCCAGGATAGCGTAGTCCACTACGTAGATATTTCCAGCCTCCATGGTAAAACGAGAAGGAAAAACAAAGAATTGACTGAGCAAAAATAGAAGTTAAAGTACGGACACGTAAAGTCACAGAATGCTCCTCATAAAATTAAAGATATGACACATGCTGTAAAACCAGCATCACCAGTAGTAAACTGGTACTACCATCAAAGCCAATGTTATATTATCCTAAACTAGGTGCTTACACGACAAAAACGCAGAAGGCACAGTGCCAACATTAGCAAAAAAAGAGAAGTGGGGAATCTAATAATAAAATACAAGCAGAAAGTGTAGAATAGAGAGGTCACAGAGCCAAATGAGAAGTGAGAACAGACTAGAGGTATAGAAAATGAGATATAAACGGGTTCATGTCGGAAATTAGGAAGAGCTTTTTGTGTTGTGTGATCAGAACTGTCAAATTTAATTTATCAAGTGGCATTACTTTAGGTGACACAGTCAAGCAAATGCTACAAGGCAGGCAGAAGTAGACTCGCAGATACACACTTTCATCTCCTTTTCCAAGGTAGTATTTGGCCTCAGAGAACCCCGCACCATGTCCCCAGAAACAGGGAAGTTGTCTGGAATCTTGCGGCATTGTTGGATCATGCGTGGGTTGCAGCCATTCAAAAACTGGTACGCAAAAAAAGAGTCTTCTTTCCAGTGCTTCATTGTATACTCTGAGAGACAAACAAAGATGGTGGCAGGACTATGTTCATGGAGAGAGGAGCAGTGCAAATCACAAGCCCGCGTCACACGGACAATCATTAGATGCATAATGCATAATGTAGAGACATAAGACAATATACACAATGTTGTTTTGTTAGATTCAGTATCACAAGTTAAATGGTTTAATGATGCTGTACCTGCTATGGGACTACGGAGTTTCCAGAAGATGCGCTTAAAATCGTCCAGATCATCCCATGACTTTCCAAATTTTATTGCCAGTTTCTTCAGCGATAGCTCCAACAACCTGTGAGAGTAAGGTGAAGGATTGCAACAAGGAGAAAAAAATACACAGCGCATGCGTCCATCACCAAGTTAAAATCTTCATTGAAACTGAATTTATACAAACATCACTGACTTGCCTCAGTCATTCCTCATACCTCCCAGTCACATTCAAAGAATTGTAATCATTCTCTGATGTCAGTGTTAAGGCAACTTTAGTCTGATTCTGCTGCAGTTGCATGGGGTCATATCCCCATTCATAAATAAAGTATGCCCCTACACAATATATGTCAGTTTGAAGTTATATGACAGATAACTGCTTAGACTAATGCAATCAAATGCAATCATAGATGCAGATTTAAAATGCATATTATTCTTAAAATGTATTATCTGTATAAAAACATTAGAAAATAAAAGAACTGAAGTCCAAGGCTACAAGCAGAAGCCTACTGAATGAATTTAGGGCAGATGCTATGCTTTTATTTTTCTTTTTCTCTCTCTCTCTGAATTTGTACAGCGCAGTGTAGAATCAAGGGCAGTGACTCACGCATACTGCAGTGACCCCTCGAAGTCACTGCGTTTCTCATTGTGGAAACGGGCATCCTGTGGCAGGTCAGTCTCAGATTTGGCATCGATGCACTTTGGAATACCCGGCGCCCATGCCTGCCACCTGTCACATACACAAATGCACATAACCTCATTTTGCACAGATAGCCAGGGGCAGCCATGTATCCATGCAGGCACTGTGACACCATAACACAAAAAAATGGCCAGACAAGCTTTGCGAGTACACAAACAAAGTGCAAAGAAAAAAAAAAAAAAACTAACGAGAGCTTGTGCACCCTATATTAGACTTGGTGCAATTTCCATCTGCTCGTTTTGCAAAGAAAAAAAGAATGAGTTGCTGTAAAAGGACAGACCATAATGCACCAGTAACTGGACATGTACACACATGAGGGGGCAATGGAATGCACAATGACCCTGCCTGACCGATATAATTTCTGCTTCTCCAGCATCTCTGCCTTCCTGTGAGCCAGCAGAAGAAGCGAGGAGTCATCACTCAACTTCTTTGCTGCAAAAACAAAACAAAACAGGCAGTGAGCAAGCAAGATCTGCATAATATCATCATACTATTCATTATTTTATGCCACTAAAGAGTGCTAGTAACTACATATGCAATGTAAAAAAGCACAGTCACTTCAAGTGTGTGTCCTACAGAGACGCATTGACAACTTTGGATTTTTTTTACTGTAATTTCCGACTTTCTGCCTCCAGTAAATTTCCAGTTGTTTGATCCATTTTCCATAGCTGCTTATTCAAAAGCAGGGTCACTCAAAGCCTGGGGCCAAAGAACAAACTCTGAAGACACTAATAATGACCACTACTCGGGTTCCAAAGTTTAAAAAAAAAAACAAAAAAAAAAACACACATATATTGTAAACGTAAGACTTAGGAAAGAGAAGCTCAACCCTGCAGCAAACATTTCTCCGAGGCCATTAATTCAGCCCCAGACATCTACATAGCAAAGTGCCGTACCTCTTTTGTATACTTGGAAAGTAAATATTTATTAAAACTGAACAGTTTGCATGCTACAAAATGCTGTGCCTGCAATCTGGCAACATTTCATTTTATTAGTTGAAGGAGAATAAAAAAAAAAAAGAATAAAAAATTTAATGCATAAAGAATCAATTACATAAACATATTTAAGAATGTGATACTATAAACAATGAACAATAAATCTAACTATGTAATAAATTAACTGGTTACGAGAATCGAGTTGGGAAACTAGCTAAAAATATCCAACCAGTGGTGGAAATTAAGCTCGCCGCCTGCCTGAGGTAAGTAATTTAGACTAAGGGCGAGAGCAAAATACTGAACACTAGCCTGCTGTCAAATAAAAAAACAGTGCTTGTCAGACAACATTTTTTTAACCGAATGAGCCCAGTTGGCTAGCAGCAAAAATTCTTAAGTTCCACCCTTGTATCCTGCCATACTCAATCATTCTGTTTCAATGGAGGTCCTGGCTAAGCTACAAAACTATAACACAAAAAAAAACTGTTTCTCTCTATAAGCGAGAGATGAAAAGACCAGTCAAGTAAGTAAAAGACAAAGGGAATGCATAGCAAAATGTCTGTTTAGCCAAACACAGAAGTCCTCTGTGTACAGGGTAAAAATGCTAACCAAATAGTATTCTCATTTGAATCTTCTGTACACAGGGTTTTGAGAAATGTCCTTTAATATTTGCACTTTATCCTGTAGTTTAATTTAGCAGTTTTAATATTTTCCACAGGTTATAGTGACAGACAATCCAGCCTGTGACTCTTTGTACGATAATTTTATTTTTATTTTACTTCCTTTAATGCAGCTTCCTTTTCCTATTTATTAATGTACCTTGGGGTTGTCATAAAAGTGATTTTGTTATACAATAACAATTGTTACACATTCACAATAAAGTGCTATTTGCCCCCTTGGTGACAAATAAAGTTTTTTGAATTTGAATTTGAATCTGAAATCTCTACAACCTGTGATTCTGTTGCACTGAGAATGGTAATGGCACAATAATTTCCGTCAGGATTAATGAAGTTCTTTCTTATCTTATTTTAAATAGACAGAAAGACAAACAAGCATGGGAGGTGGGGGGCAAAGAGCCAGTCATTATTTGGGAGCCCTAATCTGACATAAGCACGGACACTCAGGTGTTACCGACTTAACTAACCACTCCATTCTTCGCGAGGTCAGGCTGTGATGTTTGCCAGGGCCTGAGGATATACCCTAAGGCAGGGGTGTCAGACTCCAGTCCTGGAGGGCCGGAGCCCTGCACATTTTCCCCTCATTTAACACACCTGATTCAACTCCTTGTGCTAATTATCACACAGCTCTTAAGCCGAATCATTTGTGGTAGAACAGGGAAAGAGCTAAGCTACACAGGGCTCCGGCCCCCCAGGAATGGAGTTTGACACCCCTGCCCTAGGGTGTCCTATTCATCAATCCACCCCCATCTGGGAGGTTGTTGGTGAAAGAATTTCCTCTGCCTTGTTTGGGGATGGGGAGTTAAGAAGCGACAGCTTCAGTCCTATAACCATAATAGTGGACTTGCCAGCGCATGTTTTCAAAGGTGAGCCCTGCTAACTCTTATTCTGATTTCAGGCTGACCTGTTCCCTCCCGTAGTTCCATTTCCATATTTCCCACCAACCAGCGATAACAGGGAAAGGTCAAAGTGCCGCCATCTGGGAGCTCCACAGCTACATAGAGGCAGAACCAGTTATCTTCTACCCAGTAGCGCTGCTTCTCCAGTCGCACCAGCAGAATGTGACCAAGGGGGGCAGCACTGCGTATCTTGTACTTGTCCACCTGGGAATGACAGATAGGAGTATGGGAGATAAGCAGAGAATGAAGGTCAAGAGAGTATGGAAGGCAAACATGAACAGGGAGCCATGGCTCAGACAAAAGTACTATTTTCTTTCTCTTTCATCCAGATATAAACATTTAAACCATATATATCATGTACCAACAAACACGAAAACACACAGGAGCTTAAACAGACAGAAACAGGAAGTAATTAATGGCGGCATGAGGATTTGATTGGACACTGACCGCTCCTCTGCAAAGGTCCAGCCCAGGGTTGTCCAGTACTGTCTTTTCACTTTCACCCTTCTCCCCCACGAGGGTCACATACACGTAGTTGTTGGTGCCAGAATATTCAGAGGTTCCCGTTGCCACAGTCACCGTATACTCCATCTATACACAAGAGCAAAGTAATGCGGGTGATGGATAATGATGGTAGATGTCGTATACTCCATCTATACACAAGAGCAAAGTAATGCGGGTGATGGATAATGATGGTAGATGTCGTATACTCCATCTATACACAAGAGCAAACTAATGCGGGTGATGGATAATGATGGTAGATGTCGTATACTCCATCTATACACAAGAGCAAACTAATGCAGGTGATGGATAATGATTGCAGATGTCTGTCAATGTATTATAATTTATTTTTTCAGAAAACAACAATATGCTTTCACAATGTAAACATGTTCCATCTCTATGAAATAAGTAGAAAATTAGTCAACCTATTAGATAACATAAGTGACCGCCTAGGTCACCAACTAAGCAAGCTGTGAAGTCAGCTCAAATGATTTTGACTGTGTCAATCATTCAGAAATTCTCTCCACCAAAGAATGTTTATCAGCCAAAAAGAACAAAGGAAGAAAGGAAGGAAATACGTAAGCATGTTTAGCCACAGTCTGTAACATTTTGTGCTGAGGTCAGTTTGTCTACATGTAGTTAATTGCAAATCTTTTACATCTCGCCTATGCTCCAATTCTAAAATCATATTGTGAATGAAAAATAAACCCCAACTACAATGTGGCCCAAAACCAAGATACACATAGTGATTGATTCATCGGGTCCCATACAGTCAGTATGCCAGTCCTGTGTCAACATCATTACTGTAGACTGTGACACCACCATCGGGAAGAAAAAACTTACAAGTCGTTGTAAACGGACGCCAGTTTTCAAATTCAAGGTCAGTGAAGGTCAGTGAAGGTCAGCAAAACGACAGAATTGCACCATGATTCTCTCAATTTCCTATTTTGCAGAACCTCAGCCCTTGCATTTCTCACATTGTGGACACATCAAAAGCATTTTGCTTACATGTACGTCATAATATCCTTTGCAGAAACACAAAAGAGACTAAGATAATAATGCATTTACTCGGAAATGCAACTAGACCAATTGGCTAAAGAGTCTTCTGTGATTAAAAAAGACATCAGGTGATGTAACGAAATCCAGCTACTTCATCACACATTACACCAAGTCACAGTGCACCTGTCCTTTAAAGGGGTCTCCGATAATATATTCATGAGAAATATACGTATACAAATAATCTGAGGAGCTACGCCTTTGACACAGGGGCGTAGGCGGAACAACAGTAAAATTAATCCATTTCTAATTAGTCCGTCTACTATTAGCTCGTGGTCGATGCGTGGGTGGCCACTGCTTTACCGAAATCTTTAGGGTGAGTTAAATATAATTACGTCAATCGCCCCTGAGTCAGTCAAACATTGCTTCTAAATTTTACCACGTGGGGAGCAAGACAGTCAAAGCGAGAGATTACTCACAATGTGGTAGCATGTACATCTCACCCCACCAACAACATAGACAATTAAACAGGTGAGACCCAAGTCCCCCAATAGAATCTTTTCTTCCAAACATATGCATCCCAGTGTTAATCGCAAAATATGCTTGAAAATACCTAGGAATGATGAAATATTAATTTCGCCACAAAGGTCTGAATAATCTTGTAACAATTCCTTTATTCAAAAATACAAAAAGAATCCATCCACATTCTAACCAGGGTAGAGGGGCACTTTTAAAATATAAACACCCCAAAACCTCATACTGACGCCAAAACGCGTTAACATTACACTGCTTTTTCGTCATTCATTCCGACTTAATAAACTCTCCGGTTTGTGTTTGATGTTTTACGGCTGTATCTGAGTCAGACTTCAGGTCGGCCCAATTGAAACATAAGGCGCTGACGCTGAAATAGTCTTGCGTTTTTCTTTGGGATTTGTGGTTATCTTCATAGTTATCTGTTTACGACAGATGCGGTAAGGTGCTTTGAAATTTCCCTTCGTGGTTTGACTTGAAACAAAAATCAAACTGCCGACTAACTGCAATAGCTAACCCCCAAAACTAGGTCATTCATATTTGACCTAAAAATGATTCGACAAGTTGAAGCAGTAATTAACGAATATTTCTTCTTAGAGGACATATGTAGGTTACCTTACCGTAACGGAATTTATATTGTCGTGACAAAATTCTCGATTATCGTCATGTCGTGCGTCATAGCTGTCGATATCGCTTACGTAAAACAAAATGATAATGGAATCACGTGGTTCAGTAGATTCAATTATTATCAATTATTGAACAGGAGCGTTTTAATGCACGGGAAGGAAGCAACTTCCTGGTGAAGGGCCCTGGAAGCCCAGGGCCCCCCACCAACCAATTGTTTAATAACATTTTAAGCCCAGAGTTGCCACCTGTGCCGTATTTTAAGTAATAGTCTGTAAAATGAAACGTTATGCCCCGTACGTGTGACTCGATCCATGTGTCCCGTAGATCGTATATTTTCATGTCCGGAACGAAATCTTCTTGTCGGGCCCCCTCACCAGTTCACAACTTTTGTAACCTCATGACCATGTTAAAGCATTTCTGTTAATGAGGTAAACAAAATTTCAACGACTATGGTGATGAAAACTAACATAGCCTACCTAAATTATTTGAACAGCAATCTTACAGCGGTCTCTATTGTGTTTAAAACACCCAAATGTAACCTGATGTTACTAGCTGGATTTATCTTAACTTGCATAACAACAGCAAGTTTCGCTTGTCTGCGAGTACAGTATAGTTTCATACGCCCTAATGCATTTACTGTCTAGTGCTTGGGGGTAAAAAATACAACCCAGACATCAACCTTGAATCTTGCAAAAATGTGCTAAATAAGGAATGACAAATGGTAGTGGAATCTAAAACTTTTCAAATTGACCTTATGAACCGGGTTTTTGACAGCTGAGCTGATTTTCACCAGTAGATACTTGCATCCCTTTCCAACCTAAACAAGCATGTATTCTTCGGCAATGTAGAAATCCGCACCTGATACAGGCTGCACCTTGTAGACGTTCTAATCTTGTACATATTTTCCATTCACACTGTACATGTTTAAGCCTATTAGTAACACCTTCGTTAAAATGGGTTTCGTTAGTTATTGATCTGTAGGACTAACTCAAAAGTCTAAGCAAAATTCATTCATCGTTATTGTTTCAGCCAACAGATTTAAAACATGAACCGGTTAAACGATTCCAGATAAATGATTAAATGATGACCTTTTTTAGAGCATGCATGCAGTTACGGGCGGGACAATGTAAACATTCCAGCATATATTTACAAAACGAATAGCTGAATATCTTTGAACAATACAACGTACGCCAAGAATGCGTGGTGCTTTCACATCAAGATCTGAAGGTCTCTAACTTCTGTACGTACATCTTCTTCCAAAGAAGCAACTACAGAGATTAGTATCATGATCACATAAGTGTCACGTATAACAGACATCTTCAAAATGACACCAAACTAATATCCAACTCCTTAAACTTCGTATAAATCGTGATTCTGCGTAAACTAATGTAAACAACATAGAGACTGCAATTATGTGTATAATTTTTACGACAAAGTTTATCATTATTATTCGTTTTCTAAAGATAAAAAAATCGCGAGAAAAAAATTTTGGACAGAATATTATATATACATACATACACACACACATATCAATTTTAGAAATGTAATGTTAAACAAACAAAAACCTCACCTGGGCAAATATGTGTTGGCGATATGATCACGAAATCGCGTTCGCTTTTCTTGAAATGTGTGCTTATTGGGTGTATCTTCCTACCCTGGTCGAGATCACTCCCTCTCCACAGTTTTTTTTTCTAACTTTCTTCGATGCTGCTGGAACCAAGATTTTACAGACTATCCCTTAAGCTATTCCATGAGCAAATGCATACAGCAGCTACCCGTTTCTTAATATATTTCTGTAGTCAAAGCCCAGACCGCACTTTTCCGAGTTACCAGCATCCGGGGAGCTGCAATCTTTTTTCTTTCTTAGAAAATTGAAGGTTTAATTGTGGCATTTCGTCAACGTTTTCCTTCTGTTGCTATGTAATGCAGTTAACCTGCGTGCGCTCAACTCACCAGGAAGCACCGTCTGTGTCTCTGAGCAGAAAGAAGCTTAGGATTGCAGGGTCGCCGTCTCAACCGGAAACCTTTGTTATTCTGTTGCATAAACAATTTAAGTAAATGTGTCTATGGCAGAGGTTTCAAACTCCAGTCCTGGAGGGCTGGAGCCCTACCCGTTTTTAGGTTTCCCCACATTTAACACACATACATTGCACCTCCTTGTACTAATTACCACTCGGCTCATTTGTGGAGGATCAGGGTCAGAACTAAGTCACACAGGGGCTCCAGCCCTCCAGGACTGCAGTTTGACACCCCTGGTCTATGGGAATAGCCGCTGAACAAGCAGAAACAGCACATCACACGCGTTTTCAGCCACAGACTGCCAGTGACATCATATAGACGTGGAAGTGTTCATCAGAGGTCTTGGCAAAGACGGTGACACTCTTTGAAAGTGGAAGCCATGTCAAATGTGTGAGTGTATAGAACCCACCAGTAATGACTTGGTCACGTCAAAATCAAAGTATTTATCACAATGAGGTACTATGCTTAGATGCAAGTGACAGTGGAGGGACACTGAACTTACGAGAAAAGTTTATGGGTCAATTTCCTAGAAACAACAGCAACCGCTGAAAGAATTTAAATACATGAGGGAAGTTGCCCCTCCTCACCACATCACAGTCTGCTAACAAAGGCAATTTAATAAAATTAATAAAGAGCATGTGCAAGATTAACAGCTCACCACTCCAGTCATCTTACAACTGGACATGGGTGACAATCCCTCAAGAACAGTTTTCCATGGCATTTAATTAATCAATGAAACACCCAACCATGTATTCATCCATTTCCCACCCACTTTTCCGGGTCAGGACGGCAGAGATGCCTGGTGCCCATCCCAGGCAGCACCAAGCAGGGCACATCCAGGATACACCCTGACCAGTCCCCAAACAGCCAGTTGTGAACAACACGACCATGCGTTGGCCAGACACATGGAGGAGGTGTGTTATCTGAATGTGAGCAGGAAATAAGTATGCAAACCTAGGACAGCAAATTACACCATCTGGTCAACAGATAGCAGTTCGAGGTCTTGAGAAACAAAACATAACCGGTTTCTGGTTTCACCAGAACCAGTACTGGACCAAAGACGGTTGTTAGCAGTACTGCAGCTACAAAGACAAAATCACTTAAAATCCATGTGTGTTCCATTCAGGTTTTATTTCTTACACAACATTAAAAAAAAAAGAAGCAGTAAACACAAAATATTAACAGTGTATAATAGTGAAACTAAACTGTAACGTTCTAGTATATGAGTTGGGACAGCCTCAATGTGCTGTTTTTTGCTTGACTTGCAGAACAATGTCACTGAACACATGAATCCATGGTAGTCATGTAAATCAGAAGTTTGATAATTTGCAAACAGAGAGCTGCATAAATGTCATAACCCAAGAACTTCGGGCCAAATGTCCTTTTCATTTTTTATTTGCTGTTAGCTAGGACAGGAAACCAATGGTACGTTAAAAAAAAAAAAAAAAACATCTGATAACCAGTGATAACTAAAACTAGTGATAACCAGCTATCTTAAAACAAAAAAAAAAAGTCAATGCAGTACACCAAGAGTTATGGGCTATGAAGAGGAACCCCTGGGCTTAAAGAAAAAAAAAGAAGTACAAAATCAAATCGTTTTCCATCTGTCGTCTTAAGGGGTTGACACAGAACACAGTCGGGAAGTGCATGCCGTTTTATGTATTACCTCCCACAAGGGACAACCAAGTCAACATCTTAGTCTCTAGTCCCCTATAGTCCAGATTAAGGCCATGACTGGACAGTGCTCTTACAGAGCCACATTGTGCAAGTGAAAAAGAGGGGAAAAAACAGCGGTTGGAACTGATCAAATAACCACATGGTCCAATGATTAATGGTTCATTTATCAGAGAAATGTATTACGATGTATCAGCTACAGGGTGCAGGGTTGGGAGAACAACCTCATCCAGTACATCCTAGGACTGCACTGGGGAGGGGACATTCTCCTCTTCATCTGGAGGACAATCCACAAAGTCAGCCAACATGGAGGCCATGGCTTCTTCATCAAGCTGCTCAGACAAAAGCAACACATTAGAACAAAATATTGGCAAGTTAAAGGTTAACAGGGTTATACTGAACATCCAGGAAACAAGTCACAATGCTGCTAGACTTACTGTAATACCCAGCTTATGACCTACAAAGCGTAAACACTTACCTTTTTCTTCTCTACACTCTGCTCTCCTTCCCCTATTTCTCCTTTCTCCCGTTTTCTCTTCACGCCTCTAGAATCATCACTGTTATTGTCGGACTCTTCTTGCCCCACTTCCTCACTCTCTACAAGTCCAGACATCTTGCTCTGTCTGGCTGCAATTGCTTCCTCCTCTGGGCAGGTCTGCTCTTCCTTGGACTCTCCATGCTCGACCAGTGGCAGTTCCACCACTGCCTCCTCCCCGGAGGCATCTTCGGTCTCCCTTGCCTCCTGCGCAGATTCTGTAGCTTGTTCTTCAAGGAGGACAGCAGTCTCACTTACAGCAGGTGCCTCTCCTTCTTCTGTGGATCCTTGTTCCTGTAAGGACACTTCCTGTCTACTTTCAGCTTCGGCTTCCTGAGTAAGTTCAGCTTCTTGAGAGGTTTCTCTAGCTGTCATGGGAGGCTGGCGACCTGTCTGGAATTCAAGTGAAGCAGAACCCTCTTTCGCTTCTTCCTCAAGTTTTTCTTTGTGCAACTTCTCCTCTATGATTCCTACATCCCCTTCCTCTGTCTGTTTAACTTCATCCTGGACCCCCTCCTTTCGGTACACAGCAGTCTGTCCTTCCAGCTCTCCACTTGGCTCATCTCTCTCATCACCATCCTCACCAGAGAACATCCCCATTGGGCTCTCACTCACAGGTCCCATCAGAGCTTCCCCTTCCTCCTCTCCCAGAAGCACACTTCTGCTTTCCCCCTCTAATTGAGGCAATTCATCAACATCTTCCTCCTCACCCTCTATTATCCCCTCCTCTTCCTCTATCATATCCTCTTCCTCCTCTTCATAGTCTGCAAACTCTTCTTGATCATAATAGTCTGGGAAATCACTCACTTCTTCCTCCTCCTCCTCCTCATCATCATCATCCAAAGGCTCCTCTTCCTCCTCATCTTCTTCCTCTCCAATATCATCCTCATCCATCTCTTCCTCCTCATCTTCATCTTCATCCGAACTATTGATGTTGATGACCGTGAGATCTTCCTCACTTGCGATTGGCTGCTGCGCCTGCTGCTGCGTCTGTTGCAGCTGCCTACTGGACTGTGCCATCTGCGTCTGCAGCTGCATCAATCCCAGCTGAGAGGCTTGTCCGGCCGGAGATGACTGTAGAAGCATCTGTTGGAGCTGGTTGCCCGGCAGAGCGTCTCCAAGACCAACAGAAGGTGTAGTCAGTTGAGCAGCAGAGTTGAGTGGTGGAACTAGGGACACAAGCGGAGTTTGACTCTGACCAGGAAAAGTGGTAACAGCACTCGAGTTTGAGGGAAGGGCCATAGTAGTAGGGAGCTCATTAGGAAGTGGGCTGTTCACAGCTCCTGTATCTGACCCTGTACCCACAGCTAGTCCCGAAACAGGTGCTCCAGGTGGGGGTTGGTGCGGCTGTGTGCTGGCAGGATCCTGTCCTTCCAGAATTAACATTCCTGGAGGCACTATGACAACGCTGTCATCGGAGTCACTCTCCAGGGAAATCTCCACATCCTCTGGCTCCTCCTTGTCATAGCGTACGAATACAGGCCGCCGGCCCTCGGGAGGCCCCAGGGGCGGCAGCTCTCCAGGTGGAGACATGAGCAGTTCTGCCTGGGCGGGAGTTGGACCCGTCTGGGCAGGCAATACAGGCGGTGGCGGGGGGAGATGGTTCTCCAGAGGGGTTAGGAGACCAGTGGGTCCCATGCCGAGGGGATGCCGTGGCGGGAAGGGGGGCGCTGGCGCAGGACCGCCGAGAAGAGTAGGGAGAGAAAGGTTTTGGGAGGAAGCGAGGGTAGGGGCAGCCGGGGTGGGTTTGACGGCCAGGGGAGGCAAGGGGAGAGCGATAGAGGGGACGCGGGGGTGAAGCAGCGAGTTGCAGATGGTGAGAGCTTCAGCACAAAAGGAGGAAACCTGTAAGAGACAAACATGCAGGAACATGATGGTGCAACTAAAGATATACATCAGTTTCAAAACAAAGAAATCTTTATCATAGGCTACTCGTGGCTCAGAGGACAGCAATGTCCCTTTTAGCTCACATACTGCTTTGAATACTGCAACATTATTATGTTTATGCTTAGCATTAGGCAAATGGGTCAGTGCTTTAGTCAATATAGCCCTGAACAGCCCAGTCCAGGAAACAGGGGCTCCTATAGGAAAAGTACACAAAAAAGGAGGGGGGGGGTTAAGGTAATAAATACCAAAAGTTCCTGTGAAACTGTAAAGTAATGCAAATCCTGTCCCACGAGTGAGAAAGCCCTCATCAACTAATCACAAATCAGGCAATATGCATTTCTGCAGGTCACTAGCCAACAATTCCAGTTACTCTTCAGTCATTCAGTTTGAGACTTTGCGTGATACATGGCGAAACTAAGAGGGAAAACGATTGTTCTTCAAAGAAAAAGGGACACATCCACCTGAATTGAGAAGGTTCGAACCAAGTTTAAATGCGACACAAACCAATGTTGTGTCATCGGGGGGGATCGGAAGGAAGTTTAAACCCAGTAGGCTCACAAGACATTTCTTTATTTGTGGAGTCAGGTTCCAGTGTTGGCTTGACTTTAAATTTATACAGCTATATAAAAATAAACGTAGCGTAGCACCAGGCAGCCTCACGAAGTACAAGCTAAACAACTGACCTCTAGGACCCGTAATCTTTGCACATATGCAAGTTAATCTCAAGTGGTTCACATTTACATTTAGCAACCAAGGGAAACCGCGTTCGCCACTGGGGATGTTACACGGCCCAGGGGATTATGACATAGTCAGAAGTGTTATCGGTACCACTGCAGTCCATGTGGGCACCCGCGCCAATGTTTTTCCCACGAGCTCCGAGTAGCAATATATTGGTCGTACGTCACAGAGACCGATCAGTTAGAATCGCGCTGCGCATATCTGTCATACAGCTGCTATACGGGCAGAAGTCTTGCAGCGCAGCTATGGAAGCAGAGACTGGATGATTCATTAAACTGTCTGCCTCAGGTCACGAGTGGCCTCCGTGCATCAGTGCTTGACCTCATCATCACATTTAGGCACCATTTGGTTGATCCACCTACAGTGAATAACTCCTAACTGTCACCCATCCCAGATCTGATTCTGAATGTCCCACTGAGAAATGGTCCTTTGATAGAGGGTCAGCTTAGGGAGGGGCAACACGTCCAACACGACACATTCGCAAAAAAGCTTTAATTCTCACCTAGGCCCTATCGAGGTAATTCATGTTGTCTTCTGCATATAACCTATAGCCCTCATCTCAATTCTTTATAGAAAGAATAATTTACTTATTTGCCAAAGAAAACGATCTATATAAAGCCATGGCATTAACTGCTTTGTGATCACTGCAATTAGGACGGGGTGGGAGTCTGTCGCCCTATTACTTACGGAGAGACTGTGGTCCCGCTGGCCGTGGCTGAAGATGGACACGGCGCAGGACAGTGGTGGCGGCCAGCGGGGTGAGGGGGCAAGCACGAGGGCCAACAGGAGGCGGTAGAGTTCCCGCCGAGGGGGGGCGCTACCATACTGGCCGCTCGCACCCCCCACATCGCTCCCGCACTGCTGCTGCTGCAGACGCACGCAAAGGGGCAGGACCAGGTCCTGGAGCCTCTGCAGGAGAAAAGGCTTTAGATAGAGGACGAGTGAAACAAACAGACACTAAATATGTCCTACACACCTTGTGAATGTCTTCCTTCAGCAGAGTGCCATTGGTCAAGATGATCTGCCTCAGAGCTGCAATGGCACAGTCCTCATCATACCCATGCTCATCTACTGAGCATTTATCATAGTAACAGAAACCCAAAGAAGTGGACAGGAGACTCAGCGACACACGCTCACCTCTCAGAGCCGACACACAGGTGTCCTGATTGGCCAGTGCATCGCCCTTCCTCTGCAGCAGCGGTCCACTGCCATCGCCCATACCCTTCCCACGCCGTGGTGGCGTTTTCCCAGCATGCCCGGCAAGTTCCGTGGCAGCGGACAGCCCAGTGCGGAGCTGGGGGGGGGGGGGGCGGTAAACCAAGAATGCAGAGTTCAAGCACCTTAAATTCTACAAGCCGGACATTAATTACAGCGCTGCGGCCTAGCTGAGCTCACGTCAATGTCTCTCCAAAAAAGTTAGTTACTGAAGTGCCGCTCAGGCTAGCAGCAGAAACACCATACAGCATTCCAGGCTAACAGGTGTAGCAGCAAATGTGGCAAGAACCTGCTGGTCACCACCACAGGCCTACCATTCCTAGCATTTTTAAAACTTACCCAATGCATTTTCGTTAATTCACTTGCGAAAGTTATGAGGGTTAGAGGAAGAAATTTTATTGCAGAAGAGGAAATGTTGAAAGATCATCTCACCTATTACAGTTTATCGATTGCTTACACACTATTACCAGGCTTATGAGCTAAATTTCCAAAAACCATTACGGCAACTAACCAAAAAACACATTTCCATAAACTATACACACTATTCCCGTTTTGACACTATTAAGATTTTTTTGAACTGTTAGAGCAAATACTGTTCACTCCAGTCAGCACAGAATTAACCCAATTAGCACACACCGGTAATTATCCGGATGAAAACACGAGTCAAAATTGTTCACATACCAATCAGAACCTTCAATAGTTAGATAAAAGGGCCTTGGGTCAGATCACTTAGTTTTGGAAAAATGGATCCAGAAAGACCAGAAGAAAGAGGAGGAAGAGGATGAGAAAGAAGTGAGAGGCCAGGGAGACAAGTAATGTCAGATGAAATTTGTGCCACTCTTGTCAACCATGTCTTTGTTCATGGTATATCAATGAGGGAGGCAGGGCAACGAGTGCAGCCAAATCGGTGCCGCTTCACCGTTCTCTGTAATACGAACCTTCAGAGATCAAAATAGGTAGGTGTTTTACATACCGCTCTCTACTGTAACTTGTGTTGTACTCTGTGCTTTTAAAACAGAAACTGTAGATGCTTGCTCTATAACACTACAGTATATGTTATGAGAAATGCATTGAATTATGTTCAGTCACAGAAATGCATTATTGCATGTTCCTGTTTTGTACAAAGAAATGGACATATGTGCAGTTACAGCAATACTTTTGTTTTTGTAGGACAGACGACCACCTGGTGGAGGAAGGTAAAGTCTGTTTTTAGAGGAGCAGGAGACGGAGACTGTGAATACAGTTATTGCCAACAATGTGATCCTCCTCCGAGAGATTCAACAATGAGTGATTGAAGACCAACAAGTATTTAGAGTGAAAAACATGGTTAGAACGAACGAAATTCTGACATGGTCAAAGACCAGCGCCAAGAATATGTACAAGTAATAAGTTTTCTTTTTGCGTGAAGTATTTGAGTCTTCTTGCAATGTGTACTCTACTGTATTTCTACAGAGAATCTCTGAAATTGAAGGTCGACCTGTTCTTCATGAGCTCATCTTTACTGAGGCAGGATTTAATCTGACCAAAAGTAGGAGAAGGGGGAGGAACATAACTGGCCATAGGGCTATAATCAATGTCCCTGGCCAGAGAGGAGGGCATGTCACTGTGTGCTGCAATCAGCCACGAGGAGTCCCCTACTGCCATGCTGTTCCTGGTCCCTATAACACCATGTTCCTCCTTGCCTTCCTTGATGGTCTAAGAGACCATGTCTACCAGCTAGAGCCAGCACAACCAGAGCAGCCTCGCTACGTTGTCATTTGGGACAACGTCAGCTTCTGTCGGGCTGCTCTGGTCCGTAACTGGTTCAAGGTTCTTGAACATCTTTCTGCCAGCATATTCTTCCTGTATAAACCCCATAAGGTGTTTTTTTTTTGGCATGGCGGTGGAAGGTTTACGACTGCGACCCCTACATTTGTGTTCCCCTCCTTCAGCCCATGGAAGATGCCTGTCAGGGGTGGATAAGACATGCAAAGAGGTTTTTCCCTCACTGCCTGGCTAGGGCTAATATTGCATATGATGTAGATGTGATTCTTTGGCCTGATCCATACCATAGACTTCATGCTGTAGCAGACTAGGTTTTTGATTTCTGTATTATTTTTTTTCATTTATACTTCACTGTATAACGGCTGTGAAGTTTCTCTGTATGGTGGCATACATTAAGAAAAAAAATTGCTCAAATATGAACATTTGTGGTGTCTTATTGTGTTCATCTGCAGTAAAGCGGTTTCTGTGAAACATACGCAACATTACTCATTGCTGGTTTTTACAGCAGTGTTTTGAATTGATCTCACCAGTGTGTTAGACTATGCTGTACTGTATTGTGTTTTTGAGGGCTTGTGTGTTATGTTTGAAGGCAAAGCTTGATTTTTTAGTTAGTGCATGGTTTTGAGGGGAGAGTTTGGTTTTGACCTGAACGGTGGAAGTTTCAGAAGTTGAGTGAGCAGTTATGGATTTGCATTTAGAGTTTTGGGAAACTGAGGTGTAATTTCAAGAAATGTGTTTTAGCAATCGAGAAAAACTGGAAAAAAGAAAATCCTGTTGAACTCTGGGAAGGTTAAGAGGCCTGTCCAAACCCAGCCACCTCACCAGTGACTTCTCACCTTGACTGATTCTGCCCCCGGCGTGATGTCACCCAGCAGGTGCATCAGCAGGAGCTCTGTCTGGGTGGGGCTTCCCTGGAAAACACCCGCAGAAGCCCCAGCCACTTGCACCCACAACTCCAGCATGCGGTACAGACACACCCGCACGGCACTGTGGGGGGGGCGGAGGGACATCACGATTAGTCAATCCAACGGCACCAGCAGCATCTCAGTTTCACTGTTCGTTCCATAAACCCTCATACGTGTAACATTCCCTGATGCCAGTCTGGGCAAGTAACAGAAGTTAAAAGCAATTTGAGCTGGGCCACTACATGTACAAAATCAAAATAAAAACCTGCACACACACGTAGGACCTGATGGGTAAGGCTTTCTGCGTTTAATAAATACACTCCACGTCCATGTTTCCCACCTGAAGGCTCTCTGCTGTCCAGGGCTGCTTTCTGGCTGGGGACTCCAAGCGGAGAGCGTCTGAGACAGGAGTCGTGTCAAGACACCGCAGTACTGGACCAGGCGGCCGCCCGCGCTGCGGATCGAAGGGCATACGGTGAGTACATCCATCTGTAAATCGACCAGCTCCCGGCCCACCGCCCCAAAGGAAAACCCAATGGCCTGCCCATCAGTGAGAAATGACTCTGCGCCGCTCCCTGGACGACCCAGAAGCGGCGCACGGTCAGAAGTCTGTCGGCACTCACACTGTGATGAGAGCAGAGAGGAGCTCCAAGGTATCGCTGTGAATCGAGGGCAGGACCAGCAGCTTCAGGGAGCCGTCACCAGACGCGTTCTGCGACACATGCAAGTTACAAAGGCGCCTCGACACGCAAACACACGCAGCCAAGATCACTGTGGGAATCCAAGGCCTCTGAGAAGAGCCACCGCATAACAAGCCACAGAAAATGGGAGCTTGATTCATAAGCATCCGGGCAGAGAAGAGTTTTCACCGGTGCGATGTAAAGCTGGGAAAGACCAAGCTGAATGCTGCTGGGTTTGTGCAGGCGAAACCGGCATTACTCACGATGTTCTTGCAGCTGACAGCCAAGGCTCGGCACACTAGGTTGATCAGACTCTGCACAGGCACACACACCGGCGAAACGGGGTCAGCGCTGAGGGGAAGAGGGCCAGAACCGGTGTCACCAGGGCCGACACGGGCCACTAGTCTATAATACACACTACAGTATTTCCTGAGGAATGCACATGTACCCATGGTGGATAGTGGAAAAAAAAAAAATTCCAAATGAGAGAGAATTTTTCAAAAAGATTTTAAACGACTACTAAAACTTTAGTGAGTTATTTTCAAGTTACTTGATTCATAACTTAATTTCAACAATAGAGGAGGTACTACCTCCCGTACCTCTATGGATTAGCCGCCTCTGGTATCCACAAGCACAAGCCCAGAAGCACTAGCTGGTACCGGGTCGTGGTGACAACTAAATATTGTTCTATGCAGGAAGTGCACATGCTTATTGATAGATGGCCATGTGGGTCTGAGTGAGCCAGAGCTCTGGCCGGGTAGGTTGGTTCACAAACCTCAACGTGTGCCTGATGGCCAGAGACACGGCCCGGTATCGGTGCCGGAGCTGGATCTGCAGGAGGGGGTCGGTCTCATCCAGAGAGGGAAGAGGCAGCTCTACACCAGGACCCTCGTACTGCAAGGCCCCTTCTGCCAGGAGACAAACACACCTTACAACCAACCACTGGACCCAAAGACCCCACCCGCCCATCAGGACCCAAACACCACATCAACCTATAAACGAACACATAAATAAAAAAAAAATTCCTCAGGGTGATGGAATCAGATTGAAACAGTGTTTAATAAAAACTGTTTAAATAGGGTATGAATTTCCGACATGGTGGGCTGTCGATCCCGTAACAGCAGCCTCCCCCTCTTATTGCTGTGCCACCCCAGGCCACCATTTCCACCATTTTCTGCAGGCCAAGCTCTATTACTCTAAGGCGTCTGTGATGGTGTGTCTCGATGTTGAGACAAATTAACCACAGAATTCCACATTTACCTTTTATGCTAAAGCAGTAACATGCGAGGAGGAGTGCAGTTGTACTCCAATACATCATGGCTGTCATTTGGTCGCAGGCACGAGGCCGCAGTGTGCGATGTATCGGAGTACAACACGACTTCAAGTACGTTATTGCTTTTATATAACAGTTCATCAGGCAGCATTTATAAGTTAACAGTAATAGGCCACAACAGATTATATTTTGATTATCTAAACACACATAAAATATAGTTTCCACCAGCCTACTGTTACCAAGCAACACAAACATTCCAACGAAACACAGCTCACTTGCTTTCAGCTACCGTTCCAGACTCTGGATCGAATCCTAAAAAGTTTGAGTTCTGATCGAATTTTTCCCATAAGAAATAATGGAAAACCAATTAATTGGTTCCCGCCCCCCCAAAATTACACCTAAATATGTTTTTTTTTTTTTTTTTTTTTTAAAGCATTTAAACACAAAATGAACAGGATAAAACAAGAGGAGCATTTTTTTCTTAATGGCTTCCAAAACGATAAAGATCTTATCCCAACATTACCCCTGTCCTGCACCGATCGTTCGCTCCTTCTGTGTGCCACGCCCCCTCGTTAACCTCGTGTGGGATTCCCATGTGATCAGCCGTTTCTAGTTGTTGTCATTAGTCCTCTGTATTAAGTCCGCGTTTCAGTTTGTTTCCCCAGTCCGGTCATTGGGTGAGTTCGACTTGCTTACAGCGCTGGCTTAAAGCAACGCATTCTGATCCTGACGCAATGCATTACGGTTAGATGCATTGCGACCTCTCACCCGGCTGCACAAACTGAAACCGCCTCCGTGACGACACACCTTTGCCCTTATTGGCTGAAGAGTTTAGTTACACGCATGACGTTTGTATCCCAGGCAGTTCCGATGCGTAATCTGCTATTTCTCCCGAATATCATGTAAAGCAGTGAGAACTGGTTTTCAGTTAATTTACCTGGTAAAATAAAGTTTAAATAAATGACATAAATGCTCTAATAGTACACGTAAGTTAGTGGTTTATTTATTGTTAGTTACTGTAATGTTGTGCTGCTTTATTTGGTTAATCGTCCAGTCTGTGAAGAAGGCATTCAAGTAAGAATTGCATTGTAGTATGACTGATTTCCTGGCGCGTACAATTTATATTAGGTCAGCGTTCACGGTTCGACTTCTGATATTCAGATCGAGTTCTAGGTCAAACTGGTTTGTTCAACTTTCAAGAAATTCGAGTTCTAGTGAGTTCGAGAACCAAGGTACCACTGTATTAATTCCCAAAATATACTCCTATTTTGCTGTGAACTGGGGTACAGTTCCCAAAAGCTCCCATTAACAACTTAGATAGTTGAAACCACTCAATTGCATGGCACTAAACGTGCAAGTTGCTAACCTAATCAGCCACCATGCTTTTGGGAAACATGCCCCACCCTGCTCTTATTTTAACACTGCAACTTCACTCTTTCTGTTTTTATCAAACAGAGAACAGGTAAGTTGAATCATTTATGTGAATTATAGTGCAAAAGTTAATTTTATGTACAATATCATTTTATTTTACGGCCTATTTTGAGAAACACAAGTTAAATTAAACTATTGCTTTGTAGTCTTATCCTTGCAAGATACTCACATGAAGGTGGTGGGAAAATGCTGAAAGAACTACCTAGTTACCAACAGTTTGCATATATTTATAAAAAGACAACTTTACAGTAGCGATCAAATTTAGAAAACAAGTGACATTTTATAATTTACAAAGTCGCTGATTATCCGAATTCAATTAACCATGAACTGAAGAGATGTATTTTTATCACATTTCCTCTCACATCAAGGTTGCAGCTCCTCAATCAGTGTAAACAGAACCAGGCATTTGTTCTTGTTTATGAGAGCTTTCACGTGTTTTCTTGACCCAGTAATAGTAGAATTATCCCGTCATCATATGAATAGCGCTATTTGCAAATGGGTGGGCGATCAGAACTGCTTCGTGACTCGGGCACTACAGTAAGAAACTCTTGTTCTTTTTATTCTCCTTACAAAGCTCTACAAATTTATATAGTTTCTTCCTATATGTATTCGAAAAGTAGATCATTCAAGGTTTCTGGGGGTGTTTTTTTAATGTTTCTATGACAAAAAGTGGAGTGTTTTAGACTGTGGCAAAGGTCAAGCTTAAGTAATGGTTTTTGGATACACCTGTAAGCGGAGAGATAGACTCTGATATTTCGCATCAGATGTAACTGCACTCGGACAACAGAACTCATAGAACACTTCTTGTCCAATCAGTTTTCTTAGTTGGTACTAACTGTTGTATAAAACACTTCATACTAAGCCCATATGGTCATATTTTTTCCCCTATAAATCTTTCCAGTTTTTCCTCACCTAAGCACTAATGGATATAAAAAAAA